CTCTTTTCACTGTACCCTTTTTGTACCTTTTGAATTTCATACCATGTGGATGAGGAAAGTGGTGAAGATGTGGATTGGTCACCGCAGATAGACAGAGGAGAGGGACCAGGCTAAGGACAAGTCAAGGATTTTCAAAGAAGGCTAGAGCCCACTGGAGGCTGAAGAGCAGGAATGTCCAGTGGCACCAATCTGTAGGAAAGTGGGATTTCTGTGGTTGCTGTTTCTTCTCTTAGCAGGGTGCAGAGGCCTGTTTCTACACTAAAATAGGAAGATTGTGGGATTAGTGCAAAGATGGGCTTTGTTGATGAGAGAGTTGAGGTGGCTGGTGAGGTCATCCACCATAGGTTCCAGCTTGAGCAATAATAATAATAATATATAAGAGCAAACGCATGCACAGCATTCAGCGTGCCAAGCACTGTTCTAAGTGCTTATACATGTGAACTCAGTTAATCCTCATCACAATCTTTTTAGGTAGGTATTATTGTTATCCTCATTTTAATATGAAAGGGGGAAGCTCAGAGAGTTAGTAAATTGCCCAAGGTCAAAGCCTGTCTGTGGAAGAGCTGGGATTCAAACCCAGGCAGTTCAGCTCCGGAATCTGCATTCACATCACTACACAGAGGGAGGTGATGCTAGGAGGGTTTGAAAAGAGCAGGATAATGTGGAGGGGTTAGGGGGCAGGGCTGCGGTTTCAATGCAACCAAAGTGCAGGTGAGGAGGGGACAGAGGATGTGAGAGCTGGGAGGATGTGGGTTGCGGTCTGAGAGTAGAAGAGGAGACTTTTATATCGGATGCAGCTTGCTGAAGTGAGGCCGAGGTGAAAGCCACAGAGGGGCAAAGATCAAGGAAGCGGGGAGCTGGGTGGTGGAGGGTCATCCACAGGAATGCTGAAGTATCCCAGAGCGACATGAACGTGGACGGAAGGGACGATTGGAGACAAGCCTTTGATAAATGCAGAGAATGGTTCCTGCAGAAGAGAGAGCAGGCAGGGCGGAGTCTGGGCAGAGGGCAGCTGGGGCCTAAGGCGGCAGAAGCCACCAGGAAATTGGGTTTCTGTCGTTGACTTGTGTGGAAGCCAAGAGAGACCTGGGGGTCTTTTCCAAGGCAGGAGTACTCTAAGGAGTTATTTAAAAATCACACATTTAAGTTTGCCACATATGTTGTTTGTTTTCTATTCTTTAAACTTAAAAAAAATCATTTCCTACAGAACGGTTGGAAAATATATTGCCACCAGGTGGTGCAATGGCGGCAGCGACCATCTGAGAGGTTTGAAGGCCTGAACTGCCACCCTGTGGTTAGAAGAGGAAATACAGGATGCCATCCCTTCGCCATTTGTGACCAACGCACCAAATCGCGACCACCATCTCCCCACACCTACCACGTGCATCGCACAAACTACAGAGAATTTGAGTATGTGGTCTTGGATGGACATAAACTCTTCCCTGTCCATATCTGTTTCCCCTGGCAGCAAGTCTGGCCCCCAGCTCGGCTTCGTGGTGGGCGCTTTTCCTACAGCTAGTCCCAAGGTAGGCAGTGTTGGCGAGGGAGCAGGAAGGACTGCTGTTCTCTTCCTGACTCTTCTGAAGTCAGGACACTCTGATGGGGACCTTCCTTCCCACGCCGTGCCTCCCCTTTCATTCCCTTATTTCCTCATCCACCCACACTGTTGTTTATACAACAAACATTCACTGGCACCGTGTAGGTGTGAAGCACTGAACCAGACACCAGGGACCCAGAGATGAACATGGCAGGTCCCAGCCCTTGGGACTCACAGTTCTAGTGAGCGATGTCAAACAGTCACTAGGTGATCATAGGAGAACATGGGTGGTGCTATGATGGAGGGTGCCCAGGTGCTGTGAAGGCCCCAGAAGGGGCTCTAACCCAGTCTTGGGAGCTCAGAGAAGGCTTCCTAGATGAAGTGATATCAAAATGAAGACCTGTGGGGGGGTGAGAATGAGTCAGACAAAGAGGGTGGGGGTGAGAGTTCTAGGTAGAAAAATTTAAATGCCCAGGCCAACATTCAGGGATCAAATGGAACATTCTAGCATAAAGATGAGTTTATTATGACCGAAGCACCAAAAGATGAGAGGACAGAGGTCCTCTCAAGCAGGAGACTTGAACGTATGACAAGATGTTTGGACTTCATCTTGACAGCAAATATGAGCCATTGAAATGTTCAATGTTCACCGTCAGAAAGATCCATCTAGATACAGTGTGCAGAGTGGACTGGAGAGACCCAAGGCTGGGGGCTGAGAGGCCAGTGAGGAGGCTGGAGCAATAATCCAGGCAAGATTCAGGAGTGCCTGGACCTAGGCAGCAGTGGTTGGGTGGGAGAGCAGTGGACAGGTTAAAAAGGTTTCCACGTGCTCCTCAAACGATGAGGTTCCTGGGTTCCACTGGGCTTACTCATTCTTTGTAAAAGAATGCTTTGGAGATTCATCTAAGGTGTTGTGTGTATGTATTCCTTTTTATTACAGAGTAGCATTTCATTGTATGGATGTACCACAGTTAGTTTATCCATTCACCTGTTGAAGGATATTGGGATTGTTTCCAGTTTTTGGCTATTACAAATAAAGCTTATCTGAACATTCATGTTTAGGTTTTTGTGTGAATACAAATTTTTATTTCTCTAGGATAAATACCCAGTAGTGCAACTGCTGGGTTGTATGGTTAATATATGTTTAATTTTACAAGAAACTGCCAAATTGTTTTCTAGAGGTTGTCCCGTTTTACCTTGCCACTGGCAATGCATGAGGGACCCAGTTTCTCCACATTTCCACCAGTACTTGGTATTATTGCTACTTTTTAAAAAATTTTAACCATTCTAATAGGTGAATAGTGATATTTCATTATTGCTGTAATTTTTATCTGCTTTGTATCTACTGGTATTTCACATCTTTTCATGTGCTTATTTGCTGTTTGTGTATCTTCTTTGGTCAATTGTCTGTTCAAGGAGCTGACTCACTTTTATGGTTTTAAAATGTGCCACAACGGCCCGGGTTCGGATCCCGGGCGCGCACCGAGGCACCACTTCTCCGTCCATCCTGAGGATGAGTCCCACATACAGCAACTAGAAGGATGTGCAGCTATGACATACGACTATCTACTGGGGTTTTGGGGGAAAAAATAAATAAATAAAATGTTTAAAATGTGCCACATCATCCATGTCTCTATCCCTAACTTCTCCTGAGCTTCAGATTCATATCCAAATGCCTCCTGGCATCTGCATGGATGGCCCCCTGGGCTGAAATCTCAACATGTCCAAAGCCAAAGCCACCATCCCACTCCCAGTCCTGGGCCTCCCCAGTGAAAGAACTAACACTAAGAGGTTTTACTATGCGCTAAACACTGTTCTAAGGGCTTTACATATTTTCATTGACTTAATTCTATGAGGTAAGTACTGTTATTACCTCCATTTTACACATGAGAAAAGGAGGCACAGAAAGGTTGAGTAACTCACCCAAGGTTGCACAGCAGGCAAGTGGCTGCTAGGACCATCCAGACCCCTGAGAGTCACCCTGGATTCTCCTGTCTTTCTCACCTCCCCACATCTATTCAATCACTAAGGGCTGCACATTTTACCTCCTAAATATTTTATTCCATTGTCTTTCCTCCTATCTTTGTAAATACTGCCATCATCTCATCTGAGATGAGATGCCATCTCAGCCATCTTTTCTCTCGCCTTGACCATTGTAAGCACTTTTTTTTTAACTTTCTATTATAGAAAATTTCAACCATACAGAAAAGTAAAATAGTACAACGAATATGTCCATCGCCTAGCTATAACCAATATAAACTCATGACCATTCACTTCATCTATACCCTCCATTCCCCACTTCCCCCCAACTGCATTATTCTGAAGCAAATCTCAGACACCATATTAATGCATCTACAAATATTTCAGTATGCATCTCTAAAAGATAACAATTTTTAAGAAGGTAATCACAATAACATTATTAGCAATATTTCTTTAAATCATCAACTATCTAGTCAGTGTTCGTATTAGTTATCTACTGCTGTGTAACATAGTGGTTTAAAACAACAATAAACATTTAGTGTCACTCACAGTTTCTTTGGGTCAGGAATTTGGGAGCAGTCTGGCTCCATGTCTCCTGAGATTGCGGTCATGTGGAAGCTTGAGAGGTCCTGGAGGCTCTACTTCCAAGGTGGCTCATTCACACTGGCTGGCAAGTTGGTGCTGGCTGTTGGCAGGGGCTCAGGTCTTCTCTGCGAGGGCTCTCCACAGGGCAGCCGGAATAGCCTCAGAGCCCGTGCCTGGGTCCCCGGAGCAAGCGAACCAAGGAGCCAAGGAGGAAGCTGCGATGCCTTATGACCCAGCTTCGTAAGTCACACACACTTCGGCAGTATTCCTTTGGGCATCCATGCCAGCCTGCTTCAATGTGAGGGGGTTGTGAATACCAGGAGGCCAGGATCCTTGGGGCTGTCCTGGAGAATGGTTACCACAGGTTCAAATTGCCCCCGTTCTCTCCCTCTCTCTTTTTTTCATTTACAGTTGGTTTATTTGAATCAGGATCCAAACAAGGTCTACACCATTGCATTTCGTTGATATAGTTCATAAGTCTTAATCTCTAGGTTCCCTTCCCTTTTTTATTTATATTTTGGTTTTGTTCTTGTTTGGTTTTTTTTTTTTTAAGAAACCAGGTCATGTGTCCTTAGAGTTTTACATTTACTGGAGTTTGCTTCTTGCATCCCCATGATGTCATTTAACATAGTCCTCTGATCCCTGTCTTTCCTGTAAACTGGTACTTAAATCTAGAACTTAATATGATTCAGATTCAGCTTTTATTTTTGCAAGAAAACTTCACTGGTAGTGTTGTTTACTTCGATCAGGAGGCACATATGTTAGGTTCTCTCTCTCAATATGATGTTGGGTGTTATTGATTATCATCACCTAGCTTCGTTGTTTTGTCAGAGGTTTACAAAATAGTGATAAACTAACTCTATAATTCCTTCATCTATTAGCTAGAATATTTCCATGGAGAGAAAATTTCACTTTTTTGTTTGTTTGGTTTTGTTTTTGTTTTTTCGTCTGTGTGAGGAAGATTAGCCCTGAGCTAACACCTGTGCCAGTCTTCATCTATGTTATATGTGGGTCGCCACCACAGCATGGCTTGATGAGCAGTGTAGGTCTGTGTCCGGGATCCAAACCCGCAAACCTGGGCCGCCAAAGCGGAGCACACCGAACTTAACCACTACACCATGGGCCCAGCCCCAATAAGATATTTTTAAAATATCATCAGGAGCTTATGGGTTTAAAAATATTTGATTTCAATCCATTGCAGTTACAATACTTATTGATGCTCAAATTACACCATCTTTGGCCAGTAGGAGCCTCTTTAGATTAGCCCCTGAGTCCTTTTGAATTACACTAGGCATCTTGGATAGCTTCTTTGCTTTCTGGCATAACATTATGTTCCAGGTTCGTCTTATACATTTCTTGCGCAGACCTCTAAGCACCCTTTCTCCAAGGAGCTCTGGTTCCTTTTAGTGAGAAATGAGAGAAACCACAATCTGGTTATTAGTGTACAATTGCCTTTCAACTGTCCCCTCCCCCGCAGTCTATTCTCCAGTCATCTGAGATGTGAAAACACAAATTGGCCACTGCCATGCTCAAAGCTCTTCAATGCTCTCTCTTGCCCTCAGGACAAAACCAGCTCCTTTGCAACAAACACCAGGTCCTCAGTTACTGTTCACCTGTTTACCCTTCCCTCCCATTTCCTACTGATCTCTTCCTTAATCTTGACAACCCAGAACTCCCCATACTGAGTCATGCTCCTGCGCCTTTTTTCTCTTACTAATCCCTTGACCTGAAAACACCACTCACCATTGCCTTACTTAACTTCATCACTGTCTCACTACGATTCCATCTTCAAGATTTAGCCTTAGCTCAGGTATCATCTCCAAAACACTTTTCCCTGAACCACCTGACTGGGCAGTGTCTCCCACTGTTGTCTCACGGCCCACTGTGCTTACCCCCATCTAACCACGTAATGTTTACATGTAACTCCCCTGCACGCTCCGCTGTGAATGACTTAAAAAGCAGTAACTGTCTTATCCATCTTTATCCCCAGCATGGAGCACATCACCTGGCACTTCAAGGATGTCCCCATCTGATCACCTGCTTAGGCAGGAGGACAAACTGTCTCTTTTCCCAACATAGAGGCCCTTCCACTTCTGCCACCCACCAGCGCCTTCCTCTAATTCAGGCCTGCAGGTCTGCTAGGAATGAATGAGCTGCTACATGTTAACTTTTTCTGTTAATTTGGAATTGGTGGACTCCTTGAGGAGAACTATAAGGGAGCTCACCCTCCTACTCTGGTTACAAACATTAGGGGTGGGGAGATTTTGCCCCAAACACCTCACATTTCCCTCTCCAGCTCAGCTGTAGTGGTAGCCAGGAGGAAGGTCAGGATGGACAGGATGACACCAGCCTGGGAGGCAATAACCTTAGTGTTGCATACATAGGGCAACAATGAAGAGCAGGCGCTCCGGAGACAGCACACCTGGGTTCTTTCTGGACACAGATTTGCTGCTGCCTACCGGCATGACCTTGGAAGTTTTTATCATACGTAGTAAATAAAGCACTATTCTTAGGCTTTTGGGAATATTAAACAAAACATGTAAAGCCCTTTGCACAGTGCCCGATATATTATTAATAAGCACTATGTTGCGCCTTGTGTCTCTCCCTGTAAGCCTCACCCCTCCACCCACCACTACCACCCAATAGAAGGCAGCATAAGGATAAAATTGGGCTTCAAAAAGTCCTTGTGACTGGCCTTTTTCCAAGCCAGCGAGAGACAACAGTGAGAAAAGATGCTTCAGGTATCCTTTTCAAGTTGGGGAAAGATGTGGCTATCCTTAGCCAGGATAGGGGTAAGTGGAGTCCAAAAAGGTCAACTGGGAGTAACCTGGATGAACCAGAGTAAGCAGCAGCTCTGTCTACAACAAACACAACCACCAGAGGGCAAGCATGCCAAAATGGAATAACCTGATTGTAATGCGAACTTTGGTTTATAATCTCATATATGAACTCTATGAAGACAAGGATTTTTCCATTTTTCACTGATGATGTCTACCATCTAGAATAGAGCCTGACCACAGTGGGTGACCAAAAATACTTGCAGAATGAGTGGATTATGATGCTTTTTCCATTATGCATCCCCAAACTCCAAAGGCTGGCTGTAAACTGGAACCAACTGCACATGCTGCTTCGACAAACCACCTACAACAAAGGCTGGGGAAGGGGAGGACCGGAGAAAGGCCTGGGCTGTGTACTGGGCAGAACTGGGGTTACAGAGTGGGAGGCGTAAGTAGGGGTCCTTGTTTCTTTCTATTCACACCTAGAGCAGAAACAACCCCGTCCCACTCCCAGCCCCCACTAGGAAGTCAGACAGTACCCCAAGCCCCATGTTCAGCGGTGGCCCTGAATTGAACACACATTTACACTAGGAAAGGTTAAGGAATTTTTTTTATTTTTTACAAATTAAGACTATGTAGACTTCATATATTTCTGAATCAAAAACACCTTTGTCTTCACAGTATGAGTTACAGAATGCAGCCTGAGCTGAAAACCAAGGAACTAGAAAAGAAAGTGATAATTACAGTGATTACTGTATTAAAAATCTGTTAGTCATTTTCTTTAAAATTAGTTTTTTATATCTTGTCATTCTTGGCACTGTTTCTAAAGAAAAACTCCTTTATCCCAAGCAAAAAAGCACAAGAGGTGAAGTTTGGCTTCAAGAGATGTTAATTCAGATTCTCAGGCCTAGCAGAGAATCAACAAATTTATGGACAGTTGCTACTGGGGGTTTAATGGGAAGGAAGTCCCTTTAGTAAGTTCTCAAGCCAGAGGATGGACGCAGCAGCTAAATCAGAGGGCAGCATCCTTGGCAGAAGCAAGCCATTCTGGGCGGCAAGCCACTCCAGGAATCCACACAGCCTGGGAACAGACTATTTCATGGGATGGCACAGTGATGTGGCACACTGTGAACCAGTAGCCACTGGGCCAAACTGGTAGTAAACAGGGAGACCCAAAAATGGTGTCCTACTGGCAATGAGTTTTTGATGGCTCAGTCCCCCTTACACTGAAGCCCTGAGTAGCCAGAGCCACAACTGCTCCAAAGGCTGCTCGCCACAGCTGACTGTGGCAGCCCACAGGAAAGGAGCTGGTGATTCCCATTAGTACTGCCCTCCCACACTTGCAACCACAAAGCTGCAGGGAAATCAGATGTCTTCCAGGTTTGGTCACCTGGCCCAGCCTAGAAGGCGGCCAGGTGAAGAGACCAAAAACTAAAGTACATCTGCAAAGTGAACATTTACCTACTGCCCCAAATCTCTGGCCTGACACTATTTATGCCCAGGTGGGATGAGACAAAAATGCACTGAAGGACTGTTATGAATGCTGCCTCCCAAGTCATCACAGCCCACATCACAATTCTGTTGATCTGAACCAAGATCCATTCAGTGGAGATTTTGTGTCCCCCTGTCCCAAACAGGTCCTTATCTCGGTTTGTCTGGCAGTATTAATTACAGTGATCCCCAAAGGCTCAACCATTCCCCTTCCCTATCTTTCCTCTCCTGGGACCTTTAATCACAGCTGCCTAATAAAAGCCACTTGTAACTAAGGTGATGACCAATAAAAATAAATAAATAAAGACCAGGGGAAGTGTGTGAAATCCATGCTCTATCTTGCCACACATAATTAGCCTTTTTATAAATGCCTGACAAGAATTAATCTTCCCTTTGTGCTGAAATTCTCCCATCTCATGGACGGAAAGCAGGCAGATTCCCTGAGGGTCAGACAAGGGACGGAAAAAGGAATACATACAAATCCACATTCCTTCTGTGATGGCAAGGCAGAAAGGTGTTTGCCAGACCAGGAGGACTTGGGCAGCTCAGAGGAAGCAAAGCATCCAACAGAAGAGGCTCTTCATTTTCTTTGTAGAGGTTGACAGAAGCTTAGATATAATGAACCCAAGTAACAATGGGACCGGCAAACTTCTTTACAATGGAAAACACACAGCCCAGTCCCACAGAACTGTGCACAAATCAAACAAAGCTGAGGAAAAATGCTGAGGAAGGAAGGGCCGAGGTGGCTCTACCCAACAGTTCCAGTCCACTTGGTGAAGCTCGGTCAGAAAGTGGACTCCTGGAGTTTGCTCCATCTGCAGGTCCCACTCTCTATCACAGTGGCCTGGCAGCCTGAGCAGAGGAAGGGGCTAGAGATGGGGTTGACAGAAAAGGGAGCGGGGAAGAACCCCAGGAATATGAAGCCAAACTCCAAACTATATTCTGCTAATCAATTTTTTGATCAAAAAATTCAAAATAGAGAAAACCACAAAGTACAAAAGCTTTTCTGATGCTTTTCATTATCACAGAACACACCACCTGTAATGTGTGCAAAGAGGAAATGACGGGTGAAGGGAGAGGAAGCCAAATGGGAAAGGCTGGATGGTCATTTCACTTCTTCTCTTTCTTCTTATCCTAGAAATGAAGAAAAATTACCCAATTAATTATTGGCATCTGACAATCAAGCTGAAACTCCTGAGTGAGCCAATACCTGGCTGCCTTTGGTTTGGGACTGGGAGGGGACGGGATAATAAAAAAAAAAAAAAAAAGGAGAAATGCTCCCTTAGTGCAGCAGGAACTGAATCTTAACCATCTTCCACTGGTGGTCCCCCCAAGCTGCTGATAGACTTTATGAGAATAAAGGTTAAGCAGCTGTTCCTACTCTACCCCAAGAGTACCTAGGTGGGCTACCAGATTGCTCTTGGCTACTCACAAGCACCACGGCTCAGATCCCAACCAGTGAAGGCTGCACACTGGCAGTCTACCCTAAAAGAACTCAACCAGAAGCCAAGACCAACTTTCCATTAGGCCCGAGAAGCATAAATCCTGGGCATAAACCAACATTCAGAAATAATCTAGTCCAGTGGAACTCTTCATTCAATCCTCGGAGGAAGCCCAGTGTATAAAACAAATGAAACTTGAGTTACTTTGACTGAAACTGGGGCAAGTGCTTGGTGCTCAGTCCAATCACCCTCAGACCAGACCGAGAAGCACCAACCCATCTAGTCACCTGCTTCCACCACCACTGCAGTGTATCTTGTTCCACAATAAGGTCTGTAAAGAAAAGCTCGTGGTTTCGTTTGTTCCCCTACTGCTGGAATAAACGTTTGACACTCACTAACCCTACACAGAATGCTTCTCTGGAGAAAAAAATTAAGACTAACAAATGGAGAGCCAGCCCTGATGGCGTAGTGGTTTGGCACTCTCACTGCTTCAGCAGCCCCGGTTTGATTCCTGGTCACAGAACTACAGACTTGTCTCTCAGTTGCCATGTGAGGCAGCGGCTCACATAGAAGAACTAGAAGGACCTACAACTAGAATATACAACTATGCACTGGGGAGGGGGAAAAAAAAAGAGGAAGATTGGCAACAGATGTTAGCTCAGGGCGAATCTTCCCTAGCAAAAAAAAAAAAAAAGACTAACAAATGGATAAAACTGGTTTACTTCTGAAATATATTTACAAAATCTAGTTGCCAATATTAAACAAATGCTGTAGAATATCTTTTTCTGATTCATAACTATCTTTACAGCCTTTAAATTCTTCATATAGGAGATTATTTCTTGTTGCCACTGAAGCTCTTTTTCCCTTTGATGCTAATCTCAGGAATTCGTTTTTTTAAAAAAAGGATTGTTTTTACCTGTTCCTTTTTCTCCATCAGCTGAACACTTCTGGGTTTACCTCTTACTCAGTGGCCTGCCTTACAGTTACCCTGGACCTACACAGCGTGTGAGCAAGTTTTCAAATTTGAAGTGTACACAGAAGCTGAGCTCAGGAGCCATTCTCTCATCTTTAGGTGGTAGGCTTACTAACCTTCTCATTCATAGCCAGGATCATCATGAGTTTTCTGAAGAGAGTAACAAAATCTAAGAAGAGGTCAACGCAGTGCCTGAAAGAGAAGAGCCAGATTACAAATTGCACTTCCCACTTTCTTTTATCCACAAGTTCACAAAGGTGCGGAACATAAAAACCCCACCCCCACCCTATGAGTCAGCTTCACCAACACTCCACCACCAACTGAGGGAGTGAAACTCTGGGGTTTGAGATCCTTTGCAACTCAACAAAGCCATGTAGCACAGAGGAAAGAAAAACCGGGCTTTAGACTCTGCAGAGGCCCAAGTCTGAACTCTGAATTATCCCTAGTTATGAGACTTTGAGAGGATTACTACATTTTAAAACATTACCTATTAAAAAAAATTATACGTATATCTTCTCATTGTTAAAGGTTTAAAGAATACAAAAACATAGAGTAAAAGGTGAAAGATCTCTTTCTCTTTCCTCTGCCTAGACGTAACCACTATTAACAGTATGAATAATTAAATACATGTTATTAGTCTAATTTTTAAAAAACCTGGTGTCTTTCAGGAATTGCGAGACTATGCTATTTGGTACACAGTTCCAAAACCATGTGTATTCTACCATATACACTCCTGAAGCTTGGCCACATAAATTGGATCAGCCCATGCCACCTGATCCACTCTTATCCCTACCGATGTGGATAGAAAGGTGGGTCAGGCAAAGATCACCCCAGAGATTCAGAAAAGAGCTAAGGAATGAAACAGCATATCTCACTCTTCATACTTATTAAAGACCAGTTTTCACACTTACCAGATATAATCCTTATCTCCATTTTCAGCTTTTTCAATAATGAGTTGAGTATCAAAAAGGACAAAGCCACACATGACCACCAGCCCCACATACAGGTTTGCCTAACCAAAGAAGAATGAGATGAGGTCACCATATGGTAAACACCAGAGAAAAAAACAGCCGTACCTCTGTCTGGCTCTTGGCCACCAAAAGTACATCAACCACTAACCCTACTGACATTAACATTCACGGGAACTGAAGCCTACAAGTGAAGACCACATTACTTCCCTAGGCACAATACTGCACTAATTTTTTTACATCACTGGAAGAGCTTCAGTCATTTTCACACAGAGCCACTGCTGGACTGGCCTTAGAAAAATGATCTCCTTAGCAATGCCCAATCCCTGTTCTGTCCGTACTTTCACCCATAGCAGAAGGATCCATCCTAGGAGGGCTGGGGGGAAGCTTCAAGAGCACTGCCCAACAAAGGTGAGCGTTCTGGAGGATTCTTAGTCTATCCTGCTTTAGGGTTAAGCAAGAAAAAGAAGTGTGAGGCAAACGGCTGCTGGAATGTTATATGCAAGGTCTCACCTGGAAAAGCCAAATAGATCCGAAGAAAAGGTTCCCCAGGGAAGACAAGAGCATCAGGCTCATGGCTGACATCAAGATACCTATACAGAGATGACAAAAAGGCTTCTTGAAAAAAGCCAAAGCAA